TTATCGTCGTTATCGTCGTTATCGTCGTTATCATCGTTATCGTCGTTATCGTCGTTATCGTCGTTATCGTCGTTATCACCGTTATCGTCGTTATCGTCGTTGTCGTCGTTATCGTCGTCGTCATCGTCGTCATCGTCGTCGTCGTCGAAGTCGTCGTCGAAATCGTCGTCGCCGCCGCTGCCGCCGTCGCCGCCGCCGTCGCCGTCGTCGTCGTCGTCGCCGTCGCCGTGGTCCTCGTCGTCGCCGTTGTCATCGACCTGCCGCGCTGCGGGCAGCAACTCCACCAGGGTTGCCCACACCCGCGCGAGCAACGGCGCCGAGGCGCGGTCGTCGTCCTGGTGCTGCCGGGGGACCGACGGCGGCGACGGCGACGCAGGCCACGACCGCGACGACGGAGGCGGCGACGACGACGACGACGACGACGGCGACGACGAAGCCGCCGACGTCGGCGGCGACGAGGACGCCGCCGACGCCGACGACGCTGACGGCGGCAACGACCACGCCGTCGACGCCATCGCCCATACCAACGCTGACGGCGGCGACGAGAGGCATCAAACGGAAGAGGAGGAGGAGGATGAGGAGGAGGAGGAGGAGGAGGAGGAGCAGGAGAAGGAGTTTGAGGAAGGCATAGAGTATTGAGAGGGTCGAGGAGGAGCAGTGATGAGAGAGACGAGGATTGTCATGTGTTTGAGTCACGCGATCTGCGCGGTGCGAGGAATTTGTAAAGGTGGGCCCGTGGTTTTGTGACTGGTTGGGGCAGTACGATTTTTATTAAGTTTGGTGGCTCGGAGGTTCAGGAAGAATTCTATTTGTATATTCAATTGAAGGGAGTTGATGGAGAAGAGAATGAGTAGATAGAGTAGAGAAGGCGTGCGGGGGAAGGAAAATTTACGTCGGGGGGCGTTTAGATGGGGGGGGAAAATATAAATTTGCCAGGGGGGGGGAAAAGGAAAAAAAAAAAAAATTTGATTGGAAATATAAAGGATTATAGGGTACAACAGTTACGTTTCCCCTTTCGCCCCACCACCCCTCCCCCCCGTCCTCTTCCAGCTTCCCATGTCCCTTCCTCCTCATATCTCCTATCCCACTCGCCACCCACTTTCCTCGTCCGCCCACATCCTCTGCGTCTTCCTTCTGGAGGGACTGGGAGTGCTCTTGTGCCAGAGTGGCCGGAGTCAAAACGATCCTTCTACGCAATTCAAAAAGCCTGGAGCTCGCGGACCCCTCTCCATTCCATTCCCGTCCTCCGATTCGCCTTGGTCCTCTTCCTCACCCTCCTCCATTCCTTCTCCTTGTAAATAACTTCTCCCCGTCGCCCTCCGAGGCCAGCTTGTAAGGCGGACCAGGCGTTTCGCTAGAGACGTCCTCACCAGTTATGACCCTGAAGTTTGGCAACCGCTTCACAGATGGAGGGCGGGTCGTTTCAAAATGTGGCTCTCGCCTAAGCGCGGCGCACGTTCGTTCTGAATGTTGCAAGAGTTTCACATATTGAACGCGGATCGTTTTCAACATGTGGCTCTCGCTTTAGCGCGGCGCACATTCGTGTCAACAACTTGCAATAGTTTCACAAGTTGAGGGCGGGTCGTTTTCAAAATGTGGCTGTCGCCTTAGCGCGGCGCACATTCGTTTTAAATATTTGCAAGGGCTTCACGGATTGAGGGCGGATCGTTTTCAAAATGTGACTCCCGTTTTAGCGCGGTGCACATTCGTTTTTTTTCAAAAAAAAAATGCAAGAGCATCACATATTGAAGGCGGTTCCTTTTCAACATGTGGAACTCGCCTTAACGCGGCGCACATTCACTTTAAACATTTACAAGAGCTTCACGGACTCATGGAAACTGGTGTTTTGGAAAGATTCAGGGTTACGCGGGCGCAACAGTCACGCTGATTCTCTCCATTGAAGTCCTAGGAACGGCGTTCTGGCACGATTCAGGATCCTCAAGACGCAACCGTCAGGTTGATCCGTGGCGTTGAAATCTAGAAAACAATGTTTTGGCATGCTTCAGGGTCTTCACACGGTGTCTTCCAACGAGGCCGTTCCATCAATGGAGTTGAACCGTTGTGGGGGCCTGCGAAGAGGGAGCTTGAAGGGAGAATTTACTCCAACATCGTTGATGGCTCTTGGGTTTACACTGGTCATCCCCCTTCTCCTCGTCCCCACCATGGTCCTCACACCCGTCCTTCTTATCATGCTCGTCTTCGTCTTCTACCTCATTCAACATCCTCGTCATCCTCATCACCGTCAATATCTTGGACGTCGCCGACCGTGTTCAAGACCAGCTCGACGCGCGCCGCCGCGCGTGCTGGCACTCGCGGAAGCGTGCATCGAACTGGTTTTGTACACTGTTGGCGTCGTCCAATTGTCCGCATCCTCACCCTTGTTACCATCTTCATCATCCGCATCAGCATCATCACCATCCTCATCAGCATCGCCATCCTCATTACCACTATCATCAGCATCATCATGATCACCAACACCATCAGCATCACCGTTATCAATATCAGCATCATTCGCATCATCATCAGCATCATCAGCATCATCATAGTCATCCTCGTCATTATCAGCATCATCATCGTCACCACCATGATCAACATCACTGTTATCATCATGGTCATCGTCATCATCTTCATCGTCATCATCGCAATCATCATACAACCATCAGCATCACCATCATCATCATCAGCAAATTTACCATCGTCATCAGCAGCATCAGCACCATCACCACCATAATCATCACCACCAGCATCAACAACATCATCATCATTATCATCACCCTCGGCATCGGCATCGCAATCACGATCATCACCATCATCATCGGCATCAGCGTTAGGATCATCATCGTCCTCCTCACCATCATCACCAACATCATCATCACCATCACCATTGTCAGCATCAGCATGATGAACATCACCATCAACATCATCACCATCATCACCCCCAGCATCATCACCATCATCAGCATCAGCATGATTAGCATCAGCATCAGCATCACCGTCCTGATCATCACCACCATCACCACATTCATCATCCGCACCATCATCATCATCAGCATCACCATCATGATCATCAGCATCATCATCACCACCATTATCACCATCAGCACCATGGTCATCATCCTCGACATCACCATCGCCATCGCCATCATCACCATGATCAGGCTCACCAGCATCAGCATCACCGTTACCACCATCAGCATCAGCATCGTCCTCATCATCAGCATCAGCATCATCACCAGCATCGTTATCATCAGCATAATCCTAATCACCATCAGCATCGCTCATCACCACCATCATCAGCAACATCATCACCGCCATCAACATCAGCATGATCAGCATCATCATCAGCATTACCGTCCCCACTGTCAACCCAGCCAGCACCATTATCACCACCACTATCATCGTCATCATCGGCAACAACACCACCACCATCACCACCATCATCATCATCATGAGCATCATCATCAACACCATCATCATCAATATCGTCATCCGCATCATCATCGTCATCGCGATTACCATCACCATCACCATCATCAGCATCAGCACCATCATCACCATCATCACAACCATCATCATCATCATCAGCATCAGCGTCATCATCACCATCATCGCCATCGTCATCATCATTATTTTCGACACCAATATCGCCATCACACCATCAGCATCACCATCACCATCAACATCAGCATCAGCATTATCAGCAACATCATCAGCATAAGCAACATCACCATCAAAACCATCACCATGAGCATCAGCAACATAATCAGCTCATCACCATCACCAGCACCATCATCATTCTCGACATCACCATCGCCATCGCCATCACCATCATCACCATCATCACCATCATCACCTCCATCATCATCAACAACATCATCCGCATCGTCACCATCATCATAACCATCATAATCAGCATCAGCATTGCAGCACTGTCACCATCATCGCCATCAACATCACCGTCACCATCCTCGACACCTACATCGGCATCGCGATCACCATCATCACCATCTGCAGCATCATCAGCATCAGCATCATCACCTTCACCATCGCCATCAGCACCAACATCACCACCATCACCATCGACATCACCATCACAACCAACATCATTACCACGCTCGACATCAACATCGACATCCCCATCATCGCCATCACCAGCATCATAATCAACATCAGCATCAGCGCCATCATTACCAGCCGCAGCAGCATCAGCATCAGCATCAGCATCAGCATCAGCATCAGCATCAGCATCACCACCATCATCATCATCATCATCATCATCATCATCCTCGGCAACTGCATCGCTAAAACAAGCATCATCATCAACATCAACACCATCTCCATCAACATCATAATCATCATCATCATCATCACCATCACCATTTGCATCAGCATCATCAGCAGCATCATCATCACCATCATCATCATCACCCTCATCACCAGCATCAGCATCAGCATCAGCATCAGCATCATCATCACCATCATCATCAGCATCAGCACTATCAACACCAGCATCAGCATGACCATCATCATCATCATCACCATCATCATCAGCATCAACATCATCATCATCACCATCATCATCATCATCCTCGACATCGACATCGCAATCACCAGCAGCATCATCATCACCGACATCGCCATAGCATCACCATCATCAGCATCATCATCACTACATCATCAGCATTATCCGCCGACCCCTTGGGGATCATCGGCGTGTGAGATGCTTCCCCCTCCCCAAACCCCTCCCCCGGGAGCCCGGTCCGGTCGATTTGGAGGGGGGGGGGGGTCCGGGACGAGCGCAGCACGGCCGGGACGAGCGCAGCACGGCCGGGACGAGCGCAGCACGGCCGGGACGAGCGGTTCACGGGGCTTTTCCGGGCCCAAGAGGGCCTCAAGACGGGCCAAGAAGCCCCCAAGAGGCCTCCAAGACGGCCCACGAAGGCCCCGAGACGCCAAACGACCGCTCCAAGACGCCCAAGATGGCCCCAAGACGGGCCAAGAGGTCTCCAAGACGGCCCCCGAGGTCCCAAACAAGCCTCCCAAGAGGACCCCAAGAGTCTAAAATTGTTGATTTTCCATAGTGTTTTTCGATGTTTTTTGCTTTTCCGCCTTTTCGGCTTCCCGACGCTCCAAGACGGCCAAAGAGGCCCCCAAGAAAGCCCCAAGATGGCCCAAGAGGCCCCCAAGACGGCCTCCAGACGGCCCAAGACGGCCCCAACACGGCCCAAGAGGTCCCCAAGACGGCCCAAGAGGGCTCCAAGACGGCACCAAGAGGGGCCCAAGAGGGCGACCAAACATGTTGAAACTCTAGCTTTCTGCCCCCAGGAGCCCCAGG